TATTCGCATATCATAGTATATTCAAGATTTTTTTAAAATAAACAAAAGATCAATATATAAATGTACGTTACATGATGCACGCATTCATAGAAGCGCTGAAAATACACTTAATATACATGATGTACATTATTAATGGAACATTATTAATTTTAGATTTGAATTTGCAATCTCTCATCGCCAGAATTATCATTTGATTACGACTGATGAAATTTGCTAATCTAAATGCAGCTCTGTTTATCTCTGCAAGTTGCCATCTTTTTCTTCTCTGTATGGTTAGAGCAAAGAACTAAGTTACGGCAGCCTAGGGAATTTTTAAATCTCAGTTTTTAAGTTGTCATCTTTTTTTCACTTTTGCAACTAGTGAAAAAGAACTAGAGGATGGCACCCTAGGGAATTTTTAAATCTCATTTTTAAGTTGTCATCTTTTTTACTTTTGCAGCTAGAGAAAAAAACTAGCCGTTGTGCACCCTAGGGAATTTTTAAAAAGTTGTCATCTTTTTATTTATGTGTATATGTAACTTCATACTTCTCGGTATTTATAAATATGATTATAAATAAAGCCGGATCCACAATAAGTGATTTAAACCCTATGCATTAAGAAATTGACCAATCACAGTCGAGTATGAGGAGAATAATCGATTCTGTTGGTTAATTTCTTATGACTGTACTTGACTGTGATTGGTCACTTTTCATTATCTATTACAAATCCGACCTAAGGGCTAATTATTAATAAATAATTAATAATAATTAAATAATGAAATAATTAAACTTTCAAATATATTTAAATAGATACGTCTCAAATTTGTATCAACGCGCTTCTATGATCCAAAGATGCGTTTGAAAATGCTATTATAAAAATTTAATGTATTATTTCTATATTGTATCGCCTAAAAATTAATTTATTTGAAATTATAAAATTGATTTATTTGTAATAGATTCTCTTTTTCATTTATCTGGTTGAAAAATAACAGCTATTTTGATTACGTAGTCATTCCGCGTGTAGATATAACATATGGCGTACTCTGACTTCCTTTCCCATTGTGGGTCTCCTAGTGGCATCCTATAACGTAAGGTTTCTTGCATTTTTATCTAATTTTCTGTGTTTCCGCATAAAAAATTAAACAAAATAAATTCGTCATAGGTACAAATGTTTCTAAAATTGTATTTTCAATAAATTTCGACTAGAACGTATATATTTTATGATTAAATGTAAATAAGCATCTGGCACACGTGGTATGCTCTATAATTTTAAATTGTTATTATATATGTAATTCTGTGATTAATTTTTTAAGCATGTTTTCGAACAAGAGAAAGCAATTATTAAATAATTCTTATACAAATATGTCTGTAATTAAAGTTTCTATATATTGATACCTGCTTAATTTTGAGGTTATGTGTGATCACATTTTGACGCATTTTTCAGATATAATAGTTTAATTTGTATTAACTTCTATGAATTTATTATATTTTATTTTTTTATTATTGTACATAAACTTAACAGCAAAATGAACTTTACGAATTATAATAAAATTTACATATTTAGACTTAAAATTAGTCACTTTATTTCATTTGCACTTAAATTTTTCAATAATTATTTTTTTTTGCAAATAAAATTAGTTTAAAGGATGTTTATTAAATTATATTTTAATATATATAAATATCAGATAAGAGAATTTATGATTTGAATGGATATAGAGAAGAATGCAAATTGTTTCAGTTATTTATACATTATTACATGGTATTACTAATAAATTAAAACCAAATTTTTATTTCAGGTTGATTCGTAATTCAATCACAGCGTTAAAATGTCAGGAGGTTTAGATGTATTAGCCCTCAAAGAGGACGATGTTACCAAGATGTTGGCTGCTGGTACCCACTTGGGTGCTGAAAATGTCAACTTTCAAATGGAACAGTACGTCTACAAGAAGAGAGTCGATGGTAAGTAATTGATTTAATTAAACATTCTTTAAATGCTATAGTTGTACATTATGTTTTACAATCTTTGTATATTTCTATAAATGTAGGTGCTGGTGTAAATGTTATCAATCTGCGTCACACCTGGGAGAAGCTGCTGCTTGCTGCTCGTGCCATTGTCGCCATCGAGCATCCTAGTGAGGTTTTCGTTATCAGTTGCCGTCATTCGGGTCAAAGAGCTGTGCTGAAGTTCGCAGCCCACACTGGCGCTACTCCCATCGCTGGACGGTTCACTCCTGGTGCATTCACCAATCAGATTCAGGTGAAATATACAGCTAGCATTTCATTTTACAATCGCAAAAAAACAGATCAGCAATGATGAAACATTCTCTTCCAGAATCGACACTTGTTGGCTTTTTTGGCTTAATCTTTTCTGATTTTTCAATATTATATCAGATATTTTGAGTAAAAAATTGGTTGAGCGTGTATCCTAGTAATTCTGGTGTTCTTTCTTTTAGGCTGCTTTCCGAGAACCACGTCTGCTGATCGTCACGGATCCATCCACGGATCATCAGCCTATCACCGAGGCCAGTTATGTGAATATCCCGGTTATTGCTTTCTGCAACACGGATTCGCCGCTGCGTTTTGTGGACATCGCAATCCCGTGCAACACTAAGAGCTTACACAACCGTTGGTCTGATGTGGTGGCTACTCGCTAGAGAGGTGCTTCGCTTGAGAGGATCTATCCCGCGTGAGACCAAGTGGGATGTTGTGGTCGATCTCTTCTTCTACAGAGATCCTGAAGAGTCTTTTTATTTTCAAATTTATTTTTCAAATTTATTTTTCAAATTTAGCGATACTAAAATAGGGTGTATACTCCCAGGAAAAACCTGAAATTCTCAGAGAATTTTTTTCTACCTTGCAAAATCCTGAAATACTCATGGAATTTATTTTAAACTCAGGGAATTTTTTAAAAATTACCCCTTTGATTTTTAAATATACCTTTAAAGAATATAAAATTTATTAGGTTTATATAAGTATATTAAAATATATTTTATTATATATATTATTATATTAAAATATTTTATTTGTTAAAAATTTTGTATAACAAAGATAAACTTATTTTAAAATTATATTTAAAATTTGTTTAAATACTTTAAATTTTACCTGGAATTTTGAACAAAAGTACTTGGAAAATCATGGAATTTATTTATAAGATTTGAGTATATACTCTGTGTAAAAGCAATCAAAAACAAATCTCTTGATTTTTTACCATTTAATCTAAAGAAAAAAAACTCATATTTGTCGAATTATATTAACTGGATGTGCGAAATTTCCAGGCAGAGAAGGAGGAACAAGCCGCGAAGGAGATCGCGCCGGCGAAGGAGTTCACGGGCCCTGTGGAGACTGCTCCTGCTCCGGAGCCTGGCTGGGTGAACGAGGTCGAATCGACCACCGTAGCCACCGAGAACTGGGCTGACGAGGTACCTCCAGCGGCCGCTGCCATTCCCCCAGCAGCTGGTGCTGCACCGGCATTCCAACCAAGCGGCGACTGGGCCGCGCAGGTGAGACATTTGAGATATCTATTTTCTTCGATTTTATTAAATTTAAGTTGTACTCTTATAACATTTTTGTTAAGAGAGCTAAAAACTTTATTGGTATTATTATTATTTAAATTCCTTATCACAATTTTGTATATAATTATATTAATGGCACAAAATGATTAAATAATTGGTGATTATTTGTTTAGCCTCCAGAGGAGTGGTCGACACCTGTGGCTACTGCTGCTACTCAAAGTTGGGGAGGTGCGACTAGCGAAAAATGGTAATCACGCTTGCCGACATCTTGAAAACAATGCATACTTTGTACTTGTCTGCAACAGGACCTTTTGAAAGGAATCACTTGTTTTTTTATTTCATATATCCATCTACATCCTATATCCATTAATTATAAGCTAATTTCGAATTTTATTATATTTAAAAAATGTCTTTATTCTTCTCTCTGAAGATTAAAATTTAAATATAAAAATTATCTAATATGTGCATATAATAAATTACAAATTATAAATATAAATTATAAAATATGTAGAATATATACACACATTAAGTAATTATTTTATATTTTCTCAAACAAATTTTAATTTATAATCTTACGTGTACAACATTAATAACAAAATATTAAAAATTTGGCAATTCTTATGAATATAAATATATATCCTAATAGTAAAACTAAGAAAATACAAAACTTGGTATTTTGAATGTCTTAGAAGTGAAGATGCGTGATGATTTAAAAATTTTTATTACATTTATTGTATTATTCATTACATATATTTTATAGCATAATAATTCAAAATAAACATACAAAGGATGATTCTCCATCAATGAATTGATTGGCACCAATAAAAAATGTTAACGCTAAATTTTTAAAATATTTATGGTCCCACTCCTTTCCCAAGCAGTATTGTAAAATTTAGAAATTACATCTAAATTAATATGAGAATATAATAATTCTTCACTTAAACAATACAGCTTTTATTTCAATTTTAGCGAAATTTCTTAAATTCAAATATGTATTATTCTTTATTGGTGTCATTAAATATATTCATTGTTAGCATTAAAAAATGATATATAATATTAATAATAAAATTATATTTTAAATCATTAAGTTATTCTGCAATTAGAAGATATACACACCACACACACACATATATATATACAAGGTGTCCCATAATTCGCGAACCACCGCGAATGGGCAGATAGAGCGTGTTAAACTGAATAGAAAAGTCCTGTATCATTTTGCGATATTCGCAATAATTAGTTATTTATTAAAATATCTAAACGAATAAGCAGGTAGAAAGCATTATTTGATCGAGAGGCGGCGTCATGCAGCAGCGGCGACCAATGTAGTGGCGCCGAAAAGTAAGATACTTTTGATACTAAGCGGTACATGCACACCGAGTCTGGCCTACCGCTTTCTACCCGCTCATTCGTTTAGATATTTTAGTTAATAACTCAATAATTATTGCGAATATCGCAAAATGATACAGGATTTTTCAATTCAGTTTAACACGCTCTATCTGCCCATTCGCGGTGGTTCGCGAATTATGGGACACCCTGTGTATATGTATATTATATGTATATAATTGTGAAATTATATTTCAAATCGTGAATTATTCTGCAATCAGAAAAGATACATTATATATATATATATATGTATCTATATATATATATATATATATATATAATGTATCTTTTCTGATTGCAGAATAATTCACGATTTGAAATATAATTTCACAATTTGCATTTTGTGCAGAATATCATAAGGTATGAAACTTAAAATCTATATTATGGTAACTGTGACTATTTCATCCTTATTTGGATAAAATTCCATCGCATTTAAACACAAAAATATATAATTATAAAAATCGAAGATTATAACAGCATATGAAAAATTTGGTATTTAAAGAATAGTTCAGTATTATTATCACATTAAGCTTCGTCTTACTGTTAACAATATGTCGTAAAACACTGATTAAGCTGTACCTAATTCCTTATTATATATTGAATTATACATTTTAATTATTCGTTTGATAGTACGATTGATAAAATACATCAATTTTCATAAATATATTTAATGTAACATTTATATTATAATGTAACATTTATATTATAATGTAACATTTATATTATAATGTAACATTTATATTCATATTTTATTTTTAGATTTATTAATTAATTCAACTGTCAAAAGAATGTAGAAATAAACTACAAGATTACTAAATTAAATATAAGTATTATAACAGACTAAGATTGATAATTAAAGATAATCAAAAAATGAAAACGCGCATTTATATGTCCAAAAATTCTTAATCATAATCCAATTTATGGAATTAGGAAATCGAGATTCTCGTGATCGTGATATATCGCCATTTTTACTTCAATGAAATTATCTAATTTCAATTTTTTCTAAACTTCATTATGCTCATCCAAATCGTTCATCGTTTAATGCTAATGGAAGAAAATATTTTTTTAGTATGTGATTTCATAAAATTAAACTAAACCATAAACGTGTTATTTCTAATTTAAGTGTTTTCCTTAATATGTTAATAAAAACAAAATAAAAATAATATCTCTAATGATATTAGGTATGTATAAAAAGATGAAATATTATTATATATAATATAATAATAATAATAATAATAAAATAATAATAATAATAATAATAATAATAAAAAAATAATAATAATGATGATGTAGAAACATAGAGAGAGATTACAGAAAATATAAAGTATTTTCTAGTGACGAATTTGGCGGTTGGTGAATGAATTTGCTCACAAGAACGCCAGCTTGTGAGCGTAGTGACAGGGTGCTGGCACTCTAACGGTATTCGAACAATTGAAATACATGTGCGTCAACTTGTACGACATACGTTGTAGTTTATCCGCATCTAAACCGAGATTGTCATAGATTATGCTGTACGAGGTAGGTGTTACCGTGCCTTGTAGTACATGTTGCGACACAATGAAAAAGTCATACTTGATCGGACTCGTAATGACGTCATCGACCACCGTGCCCGACTTTGGATTTTCACCGTTGAAGAACAATCGCGTGTTCAACCGCTTCGTTACGATTATAAATGCTAATTTGTATGTAGGTCTATCAGATGTACAGTTGTACAGATTGTTGAGAACCTTTTTGATCTCCTCGACTTCGCGTTCCTTCACCTGCGGTATTTGGCCCTCACCAACGCCGTCGCGATAGATGACGATGCGCGACGGAAACACATTGTTCACGCGCCTATATGTTTCCGTAGCCTTTCTAATGTTGTTGCAAAGCTCATTTGACAATTCGTCGCCATTTGAATGCGCACTCACTGTGCTGAAGTATTTTGTCATACGTCTGTCTAAGGTCGCTACCATAGCACCTGCAATGTTTAAAGAGATTAGTAAGAATTCCAATGCACATAATAGTTGCGCGCTTTCTATTTACATCAAAACTCAGATAAATCTCACTTCTGTCTTTTTTCAACATCCATGTTAAAGAAAAACACAAGTGAGATTTATCTGAGTTTTGATATAAATGGAAAGCAACTAATATATTACACGTATCACGATTAGAAAAATTCATTTCCTTCGACACATTTTTTCCATATTTCAGAGAGAGAGAGAGAGGGGGGAGGAGAGAAATTATACGTAGAAAAATATTAAAACGTAACAGAACGCACAATTTGAGAGTTAATTCGAGGATTAAGTTAAAAAATCATAACAATCAAGATTTAATTTATGAAAACCAAGTATGCTATATTATGATTTCACGAAACATTTTAAAGGTCAACAATCCTTACTCACCGAAATCTTTGGTTTTCGTAGTTGTATCGTGGCATACGTCGAATCCAACGATCATCAATCCGTCCATCGGAATGTCCACGGACCATGGTGCTCCGCCTAACTTACAGTTCATCTGTATCGCTATTTTCGTAGCGATAGACATAACGTTCCTATGCGTCATTGTTTTAAACACGCAAACCTGCGATGGTACAGGTCGATCTACGCAGCACTTCTTCTTAATAGCCGAGTAACGATCACTACGATTATTCGATACCACACAAAATACCAAATCCGGTGTTTGTTTGCTTAGAATTCGTTCTAGCATTTCGCTATATGTTCCTGGTCTGTCGTCGCGAAGAGTGTGTACTTGTGGAGGCTCCAGTCGGAATCTTAATCCTAGGGATACTTTGCTTAGCTTATCTAAAAATGCCTGAAATAAAATATTATCAATTAAAATAAGGATTTGATTTTCGTTATATATATTTAATGTAACACGTTTTAATTCTATCATGCTGATATTTACTTGTTTTTATTTAAAAAAATAGTGTTAAAAATGCAAAAAATTAAACTCTAATAGTACTATAACAGTAAGAGAGAGAAAGAATTAATATAAAAACAATTATTTTGTAGATATTTTTCATATCTAGAATAGAAATTAGTTATTTTTCAGAAAATTGTTAATATATGCATAAAACGTGAGACAGAAAAAGGACGTACAAATACATAATAAGGTAAATAACAAATAATACGAATGTAATAATATAATGTAAGTGAAAATTTGATCATACCGAAAGAGAAGGCCTATCTCTTTCCGTAATTAAAAGAACCCAATTGCGCAGATCCTTATTAACTAAACAAGATTTCTTTTGCATTGGTCTCCCCCAGTCGCCGTCCTCCTCCTCATAAGTGATAGCTGAGTCTCCGCCAACATATAACATCTCTTTAGGTAGAATACGCGCTGGTACGTCAAGTAACTTATTATCTAACTGCAAGTTCCATTCAGAAAATTCTCTCACAATATTATCCTGATTGTTAAGTCTTTGATTGAAGGTTTTCAATCTGTCGACACGTTCTTTTGCACCGAGACGGGTATATTTAGCCACGGCTGACATAAGTTTAAAATTTTCTCTCATCGAATCAGTTAAACCTGTAAATTATAAAAAGAATTTGCTAAAAATTAAATAGATAAACAAAAGATTATAAATTGCTTTAATTTATTTATTTATAACAAGACAGCAGCATCTCATTAAATCCATAAATACAATAACAAAAAATATAAATTTCGAAAAAACTGATCAAATAATTGTAATGACGCACCTGTTGCCCGACATAACTCGGGAACCAAATAAATCTTTTCCGCTTCTTCGGCTTGTCGGCTTCTTGTTTTAGATTTAGTTACAAGCATCGGTTGATTTACATTTCTTATAGTTATTCCTTTTCGTTTATAATACTCCATATATGTTATTTTGTCGCCATTTTTCAAGAAGAATGTACTAGAAGGAGTCGTATTAAAGTCCACATCTTCAATACGATAGGTATTGTTGTTATAATCGGTAAGAACTACTGTGCCAA